AAATCAATATATTTACACACGAAAGTTTACGTCGCAGACTCGACAGTTCAGCTCGCTTACTCACGTAATTAATTTCCACGGTTTTGAAGAAAATAAAGAAGCGAGAGGTCAGTTGATAACTTGGTCATTTTTCAAATTCTCCAAACTCCCAAATTCCCAAATTCCCAAATTCTCCAAATTTTCCAAATTCCCAATTTCCTAAATACTCAAATTCCCCAAATTCTTCAAATTCCCCAAATTCTCCAAATTCTCCAAATGCCCCAAATTTCTTAAAATTCTCAATATTCTCAAATTCTCAAATTCTCAAATTCTCAAATTCTCAAATTCCCAAATACCCAAATTCCTTAAATTTCCCTAAGCTCTTACCCTTAACTACACAAAACAAGCTATTAAATATAAACTACTGAATACTACTATTAAATATAAGCTACTAAATATTACTATTGCATAATACAAGCTACTAAATATTACTATTACATAATACAAGCTACTAAATATTACTATTACATAATTCCAAACTACTACTTTCCGAATAGCACTAAAATATAATTCAAACTATCACTCCAAAACCAACGACTAAAATACTGAACCACAAGATTAGAAATAAAAACGAAATACTGTCAACAAGCACGCGCTCTAAACTCGTTTCCTATCAGATAACGTTTACGCAACGTGCAATCAAAAATCGTGGCAAACGTGCAACAGCTTTCGATTAACACTAAACCTGAACCTACCAAATGATCATTTAACTTTCTTATTAATTAATCTTACGATATGTTATTTCTTGTGAAATCTGTGTTAAATTCTAATTTAGGTATCAATGCATACACTAATATGGCGCACTAAAATAATCGACACAGAGTGTTTTGTTAGAGAATTATTTTTATGAATGAAATGTTGAAGACGTGTGACATTCAAAATTCGGTACATGTAAATTTTCAAAAAATTAATGAGAAGAGTCGTCAATAAGTTGATTCAATGTTGATTCTAAAGTGAGTGGAGTGACTATTTTATCAGTCGAGGAAAAGTGTCAGAACGTTTTGTAAAACTTTGACCTATTTTAAGAAAGTTGTGTGTGTTGAGTTTTTAAACTATAATAACTTTCAACAATTCCAATATGACTACTGACCAATCAATCTCCAGTTACAGATGTCAACCCACGAGTTGAAAGTAAAAGAAGGTCCCTAACGCTTCGTCACATTTCAGCAAATAAGAATAATGACAATAACAACTGCAGCAATTCGTACTATCTCTCGAGACGTTTGCCCGCCATTTTTCGCCTAATTGGCGACCGCGAGAGCCAACACTACCGCCGAAAATACGTGTGACGCGTCCATTTTTCTATTCCAATTGGATCCGTAGCTCTTCTAAACGCCTGGGTCAGCCTCTTCACGCGCCAACTCGTGGGTTGACATCTGTACACTGCAATTTCCCCGGAAATCTGAACTTTGCCATAGGCATAGTGTTTATATTAATTACTCGTTTTAGTATTGAAGCGGACATATAGGCACGACTCTTCCCCCTGCACCCTCCCTATATAATATAATCTAACCTAATCACATTGTTATGTTGGCGCTCTGTCTTTTAGCTCTGAGCCCAACAAAAATAAGTTTATTTTGTCGCACATTTTCACAATCTCTTTCTAAACAGAACTAATGCTTGTAGGCGTATGTTAGACAGTATACATTATGAAGTGGGTTACTCTCAGGTAAAATAGGTCCTTGGTTTTTGTGGGAAGAAGTACGATATTTAAGTTTGAGAATTTGGAAATTTATTTTTAATAAGATTCATGGTAACCTAGTTACCTAGTTTTCTAGATAGGTGCGTTATGCATAGTTCAGTCAGTATTGTTACAACATTAAAACAAATACAGAGTGATGAAATGTTACGCAGTGTTTGTATTTGGCGATCATCAATTGTGTAGATTTTAATTAGAGTCATCAATTGTGTAGATTTTAACTAGAATTAAACTGAATATCTACTCTCAGTTGAAATATGAGTATGGTTCACAATATTTGAACTGTGGCATGTGTCACGAATTCGACATTTAAGTTTGAGAATTTGAAAATTTATTTTTAATAAGTTTTATAGTTCTTTTATAGTCATTTTAATAGTTTGAGAATTTGAAAATTTGGTATCTTTAATAAGTTTCTTCGTGTTTGATCATTTTAATTTGTTATTCCAAGTTGAGCAACCTTAATGAAGAACCACGTCCATAATATTACAAGTATTCTTATTTTATAATATAACAAAGAATGTTGAAAAAGCTCACACATCTCATATGAACATAAACTAATAATAATTTAATATTAATCTTTTCAAATATTTTCAAATTGTAATAATATTATCCTCAATAAAGCTTCTTATAAGTTAAAAAAAATTGAGTTTCATGTGTTTAAGTAGAGATCTCAAGATATTGAGGCGTCGAATAAAGAAATAAAAATGCATCGCACTTTCCAAGCGTGTTACACTCTCGCCAATTAGAAGGACGAAAGTGAGAAGAAGAAGAAGAAACAACGGGTAACGTCAGACCGTCCTATAAATATCTAATTTCCACCTCACGCCCTCGTTCGTTTTGCAATACCGTTATACGCTCGCGTGTTGTCTTGTAAAATGATCAATGAAGACTCCTTCGTAGACGAACCACTGCTTCTCTTGACATACAAATCACATTCCCATTATTAGGCGGCGAAAGCCGAGAATTGTTATGGGGAACATTTTTCTTGCTATTATACGGGATTTGGAGAAGAAGTTGGTGTTTGGTGAAGTAAGAATTTGACGACGGAGGAGTTTTGGAGTAGAAGTTTTTTTCGGAGTGGAAATTTGGGGGTATAGGGGTTCGGGGGTTTTAGAATATAGGTATTTGGGGATATGGGGATTTTAGAATGCAGGGAATTGGAGATATAGACATTTAGGAATTTGGAATGTAGGTATTTGGAGATATAGGGATTTGGGGGTTTTAGAATATAGGTATTTGGGGATATGGAGCTTTTAGAGTGTAGGTATTTGGAGGTATAGGGATTTGGGGATTTTGGAATGTAGGTATTTAGAGATATAAGGATTTGAGGGTTTTAGAATACAATGGGGATATAAGGATTTTGGGATTTTAGAATGTGATTTGGGGATATAAGGATTTTGGAATTTTGGGGTTTCAGAATTATTGGATTTAGAGATTTGGAGATGGGAAAATTTTAGGATTTGAAAATTTGGAAAATTAGGAATTTGAGAATTGGAGAATTAGAAAATTGAAAAATTGGGGAATTAGAGAATTGGAGAATTGGAGAATTGGAGAGTTGGGGAATTGGAGAATTGGAGAATTGGAAAATTGGAAAATTGGAGAATTTGAGAGTTTCAGAATTTGAGAATTTGAAAATTTGAGAATTTGAAAATTTAAGAATTTGAGAATTTGAAAAATTCAAAATTTAAATATTTGAAGAATTCAAAATACAACAATTTAAAAATGTGAAAATTTGACAATTTGCAAATTGGAAATTTGAAAATTTGAAAATTTCTAAACTTGAGAATTTGAAAATTTGAGATTCCAGTCCATTAACTAATACAGATTTCTTAATAAGAGAATTGGTCAACAACTAATTGACAGATCTAAATCTATTAAATCTTTATTTATGGTACAGTGTTTGGTTTACAACGCATCAATAAACGATTTTACTGAAACGATAAGATATCACATTATATTGTCGGCAAATTCAAACAGCTGGTACTTTTGATCGGGCGAAAAGGTCTATGATCTACGTTGTGAAACTAGATCCACAAATTACTACATCTGCAAATGTCTATATTCTCATATCCCTAGGTTTAGGTATATTAGTGCGTATATTAATAAAATTCTTACGTTTGATTTCTGAATCAATGAATTCTTCTTTTTCCAAATCCCTAGACTCTAGATTTCTGAATTACTAAATCCCTAGATTTCTAAATCCTCAAGTTTCTATGTCTCCAAATCCCTAGACTCTGGATTTCTAGATTTATGAATTACTAAATCCCTAGATTTCTAAATCCTCAAGTTTCTATGTCCCCAAATCCCTATACTCTAAATTTCTAGATTTCTGAAGTACTAAATCCCTAGATGTCTAAATCCTCAAGTTTCTATGTCTCCAAATCCCTATACTCTAAATTTCTAGATTTCTGAATTACTAAATCCCTAGATTTCTAAATCCTCAAGTTTTGATGTCTCCAAATCTCTAAATTCTCATATTTTTAAATCCTCAAGTATTTGTGACTCAAAATCCCTAGATTTGCACATTTCTAAATCTTCAAGTTCTTATGTTTCCAATTCCCTAGATTTGCATATACTTATGTTCCTAAATTTTCCTGAAATTTTCAAATATTTAAATTTCTAAATTTCCAAATATTTTAACTAAATTTGTCTTCAAATAAATTTTATTATCAAAAGTATTTACTATCAATACCATTCCCAAAAATTCAGAAATCAAAACCCCCTATAAACTTCCAAATTTCTAAACATTTTTACCACAAAACTTTCTCAATAAAAATTTCTGCTCATCAATAAATAAAAATTCATCCAAAAATATTCTACATTGTTCACCTATTTTTCCATCCAGATTATAATTATACCGCAAGATCTGAAACTCCTTATATCACAGAAAACGTCACATATGACCCATGCGCTCACGCAACACATCAACACTTGACTGCACATTTGACATTTAATATCCGCACATTTTACGAATTCCTCTTTACGCGTTTCCCTCAATACAAATTACTGATAAACCAATCACAAAAGTACTATTTATTAAATCACGATTAGTAAATGAATATCACATTCCCCACTGTACCCCAAAACAGCTGTGAACCCGCGGTTCACGAAATTACGAAACCTCGTGGCTGCACAATAGAAAGTCCAGAGAGAAACGAGGACTCGCTCAAATTTGACCCAGAATCATGTGTTTCCTCGATCCATAAATCTCTTATCCCGAAAATCCCACACTTTCTCCCGGAAAAGAGGGAATATCACGTACCTTGGACGAAAGTGAAACCTGCCAGAAAACCGATAGAACGTCGCGATTCTACGAGGTCAACGGCACGTATCTTGAACCCGTTTTTCTCGATCTCATGGAAACATTTCCCCGCGGGAAGCGTTGACCGGTGCGTGCCGCATCAGAAACGACGGCCACCGAAATCACTGGACGCCGCGAAAATCGAGGATCAGTCGGTCGATGACCAAGGTTCGTAATCGGCCAGGTGAAAGCCGCTTAGGTGAACGGCGAACGAGCGACTGGCTTAGCCACGATCCAGAGGTACCAGAAGCGATTCAGAATCCCCTCTTGCCTTCCATTCCTGTGTACAACTTTCACGACACAGAGAGCGAGTCTCTCTTTCTCTCTTTCTCTCCTCCCGCGACTTTTCTCGGCCCCTCTTCGTCCCTTCGACGATTTCTTTCGTGTCAAGCCGGACATAAGGAATGCCCGATCTATCGGAATTCGAGACCTTGCGAAATAGACACCATGGCTTACCTTCGGCAAATGGCGGATCTTGCCAGGTTTAGTCTCCCATCGGGTGAAGTACAGTCTTTGTCTCCTTTGATCTTCAATCCAATGAAAAACCACAGTGTAGGGCCAGATAGCAAACTGGATGAATGAAATATACTAACTGATGAAACTAGCGAATACTAACTGATGGAACTAGTAAAATACTAACTGATGGAACTAGTAAAGTACTAAATGATGGAGCTAGTAAAATACTGACTGATGGAACTAGCGAAACCAGCGGATAAGTCGGATAAGGGAACAGATGATGAGCGAAATACAGCGAGCGATGAATAGTGAAAGATACCAAATGATGTACAGCGAAAGACAGCAAACGATAAGTGGCAATATAAGAGGTGAAAGAAAAAAAAGGATGGATAATGAAATGTTCCAGATGACGAATAGTAAGAGAACAATGACGAAACTGATAACAAATATTAACTCATGGTAGTAGTAAAATATTAATAGTAAAATGGCGACAAATAGCAAGGTTTGAATAATGGAAGACATCGAACGAAGGAGGAAGGACATGAGCAGTGAAAATGATGACAGTAAGTGATAAATGATAACACTAACTGATAAATAAATAAAGTGAATGATGAAATGAATAGTAACAGAAATAATTTATAGAAATAGTGAAACTAGATAGAAACACTAAATGATAACACTAAATGATAAATAAATAAATAAAGTGAATGATGAAGCCGATAGTAACAGAAATAATTGATAGAAATAGTGAAATTAGATAGAAACACTAAATGATAAATGATGGATGATGACACTAAATGATGAATAAATAAATAAAGTGAATGAAAAACTGACACTAACAGAAATAATTAATAGAAGAAACTAGATAGAAATACACACTAAAATAGCACCGCACGATAAAACACCAACTGATAGAAATGATAACTGAATAAATAAAAAGTGATAGAAATTAACTGGGAAAAATAGAGAGACACGTTGGTAGACAGCGAAAGATGCGGACTGATGGAAATAGCGAAAGATACTAAGCGATAAAGAACTATTTCGATGGAATAGGTGATCTAACTGTTCTATCGACAGCCTTGTATGTGCAGCGACCATTATCGCTGTGTGTCAGAAGAAGCTATCGTTATCGAATTTTTAATCGAACGGTGATACGAGGGACGGCGAGTGTCGCACCTGCATCTGAATAACGCGATTATGTTGGAAATGGTTTTGTGAAATTTGGGGAAATTGTTTGAAGGAGGAAACTTGGAATTATGAAGAAAGAAAGAAAATATGTGCGAAAGAAAAATATTTTGTATATTAAGATATTTTATTTTGTAATTGTAAAATAAAATTGTGTATGAAGTATTTTGTTTTATGTTTATAATTATGTATCAAGTTTTTGGTACTTGTATAATTATGTATAAAATATTTTGTTTTATGTTTAAAGTTGTGTATAAAGTATTTTGTTTTATGTTTGAAGTCATGTATAAAATATTTTGTACTATTCTATAAAAATAAAATGTAACAATGATGTAGATTTAAATTTGCTAACAAAGTAAAATTAAGTGATGTACATTAAATTAAACTTGCTAACTTAACATCTAAATAACAAATAGATAAAATAAAATGACGTATATTAAATTGAAATTGTTAACCCAACATGCGAGTAGCAAATACAAAAGTAAAACAAAATGGTATCATGACTTTAAGAAATTCCTCACACATTGTACAATAAAATATTTCTTTAAACTACAGTGTCTAGTAGTTTATTAAATTTCAAACTTGTTAATTTAATATCTATTATGTTAACTTAATTTAATGTCTAACTTTAGTTAATATTTAACAACTTAACGTTTAACAATGTCAAATTGTAATAAATATTGTATCTTAATGTGAAACAAAGTTTACTTTGCCACGTCATACATATATGGGTGATATGTGAATTCCCATATGAGTCAGCTGTTATTAATAACTTCAGCTGATTAGAAATGTTCTACATTTCTATAATAAATATAATAAATATTTCTATAATAAATATCATAAATATTTCTATAATAAATATTATAAATATTTCTCTGATAAATATTATAAATATTTCTCTAATAAATATCATAAATAATTCTATAATAAGTATAATAAACATTTCTATAATAAATAAATATAATAAAATATATGTAAAATTTGATAAAATTTATTAAAAATAAAAATATCTACAGCTTCAGCACACAAAAATGCAATTAGCAAAGTTTTTTCTTTGAAATGAGTAAACGTGAATGTTGTTCAATTTACATGTTGCGGTATAAGTTACAACCACGTAATTAATTGTGCGTGTAACGAAGGCGTCGATCTAAATCGCAGTCGACCTGAACTAAACGCCTTCACTGTTTCCGAGCGTTGCATTTATCTAGAAGGTCGTATTCTAATACCTTCCTAAGATTTACGGATGTATTCTGATGCGGTTTCGTTAAAATTATTTGATACAGTATTCTGTCTGCTTTTATTCTACTTTGTTATTCTTGATTTTATTACTTTATTCTATTATTTCATTTTGTTATTTTATTAATATAATTATTCTTGATTTATTTTGAGTTTGAACTTTCTAACTTGAATTTTTAAAGTTGATAAAAAAAATGAAATAAAATGTATATTATTTGAATGTGAGTCTATAAATATAAATCAGTAAAAATAAGTAAATATACATTATTGTTAATAAATTAATAAATATGTATACTATAATAAATGACTAAATATGAATATATAAATATTTATAGTAAATTAAGTAAATAAGTAAGAAGTAAATATACATATGTATAATACATACCTACATCTATGTATACATACATAAATTAATACATATACAGATATTAATATGTGAACAAATATCAATAAATATTCTTTATTTTCAGCCTCCATAAAAAGGAGTTCAATTTACAACAATCTTTAACACTAATTTCTTAATTAAATTACAATGAACTTTGTATTTACAAGAAATACATAAAAAAGTAAATTATACATATTGTACAACAAAAGTAAATTATTAAAGTAAATTATAAATATTGTTATTATAAATACATTCTTCACTTTGAAGAAATATTGCAATATATGTATTTTTCTAAATATTCATTAATATTTTTATTAAAGTATCAATTTTTTCTCATCTTTTCAAATTCAGTCGATACTCACGTAATGCTACTATTACATTCTACCACTATTATTCTATTTTTGTACATTGTTCTAATCTACAAGATGAAAAAGAAAATTTAAAGCTACCTTTGCGAATAGTGTACAGAACATGTTCTACCCAGCATTGAAATCTCCGTTGTTTCCGAAAGAAATCCCTCGAAATACAATCTAAACCTATAAATTTTATAAATTAATACAAACAAATTTCAATAAATTATCAAATAGTACCATATCGAATCTAATTCTTACAAATCTAGTTTTCACAATGATATTTTTGAAATAACACAATAAATTATTATCGAAAAAAAATACCTAAAATAATAGACTACAAAATTTAAAAAATAATGATATAAATTAGTAATGAAGAAGTTGAATAAATATTTCACAAAACTATCTTGTGTTGTTAAATTTTATTCTAATAAATTATTGTGAAAAATTGTCCTTATTGTGGAAATTGCAGTTCTCCAATATGGCCACAAACGCTTTGTGATAGCAGTATTGCCCAACAGATGGCGGGTCATTGCCAATACAGTCGTTATAAGATAAATGTTAGGTTCTTATCTTTCTGTCACTTCGCGGCTGTTTACTTTTATCCTCTCTGAGAAAAAACAATTCAATCCACAGATTAATGATACTCGGTCAATTTACACTGTCATCAGTTTCATTCACTATCAATGTAATTCAGTTTCTTACACTTATTCTATTTTTAGAATCGATCGGATCTAAAATAAGAACATGTGGATATAGGTAGTTATATTTTTAGAAATTAAATTTAGATATTTTTATTTTTTCTGATACAAAAATAAGTGGGTATTTTTTTATTTATTTTTGATGCACAAATAAATAGTTTTATTTATTTCTGACATAAAAATAATGAGATATATTGTATATTGTCAAATGTTAAAATATAAACAATAACTCTTCCAAAAATTATTACAATTTTTAATACAAAAGAAATGTATACAATTTTTAAATTAATAGTCTGAAATTGTTTAAAAATTTCTAAAACAATTATATATTTATTATCTTTCAATTCGTATATGAATAATATACTTTTAAATTTCATTCAAATTTACAATAATTTGTTTTATTAAACTTTTATTTTATATTTGTTGTACGATTGACTACGATATGTTATGTATAATAAATTTGTTTATAATTATTAAAATTTGTATTAAATTTGTAATTTGTAATAAATACGTTCAATATATTAGTTGATCTATAAAAGTGTTATTGAATATAAGAAAATGATATCGAAGTTATAGTTCAGCATATGCCTCTGCTTCATAATCAGTATTTGTCTTTGCTGATAAACGTCGTTTCATTTCCCTTTTTATCAGTGCTTCCCATGCTAACGCACTCTGTTAAATCATTATACTAACTTTTCATCTTATAAGTTGAGATTATTGAAATATGGAAATTTGAGAAATTGAAAATTTAATATTTGGAAATTTAGAAATTTAAAATTTGATATTTGGAAATGTAGAAGGTGGAAGATTTAGAAATTTAGAAATTAAAAAATTGGTAATTAGAAAGTTAAAAGATTTAAAAATTTAGAAATTAAAAACTTTGGAA